ATGCGCGCATACGCTATAATCAAAGACCTGTACATATGAAGCACGCACAACAACACACACATCTGTGTAATGGAGAGGACACACATCGAAGACATACCTGAGACAGATGCACTGACAAGTGTCTTCGCACTACCGTCAACATCCAGAGCACTGATCTCTGTGAGGTGATCGCACATCTCCATCTGCAGGTAGGGTTTAGGGTCGCTCGGCAGGGTGCTGCCCCAACCAGACCAGACCTTGGTCCAAAATGGCGTGCGTGTGCATACGTACACGTTGAGCTACTTGGTCGAGATAGTATGGTACAATACCACATAAAACCCTAAACCCTAGAATACCACGTACAACCCTAAACCCTAAAATACCACGTAAAACCTTAAACCCTAAAATATCACGTACAAGACAGGGCGATGCGTTTATGTGCATTCATTTGATGGTAGGATGTGTGTGAGTACTGCGCTCATGCTGGCGTGGGTGTGCATATACACCAGGTTAGTCTGACCGAATGGGACGCATTGATACCTAACACACGATGTGACCGTTTGTGTATATGGCCTACATTCAATACATGACATGCTACAACCGACAGGGGGTATGCCGCCAACTTCTATGTTGTGTGCATACGACGCCGACGTGTAGGAGAGTGTGCATGAATACCATTTACGTGCACACTCTGACATCATTACGTGAATATACATACACCACTGAGACACAGGGACCACACTCTGCACGACAACTAGCACGAAACACAGTATCAGATGATATGCCTCACCTTGACGGTAGAGTCACAGGAATAGCACTCTACACATCAACTACCAAGAAACACAGTACCATGAGTTATCTGACCTTAACAGTAAAGTTACAGGAACACACTTGACACAACAACTACCATGAAACACACTGCCATATGTTAAGTCTCACCTTGACGGTAGAGTCCCAGCTGCCTGTGACGATGGTATTCTTACGGGCGCGCACACAGCTCACCGAGTCGTCGTGCACGTTCCAACGGTTGACAACGCGTCCGTACAACTTGGAGTAGAAGTACAGGCGGTTGTCCCAGGCACCAAGTACCTACAGGGGGTGTGTAAGGGAGACGCACGGGAGAGGTGATAGGTGAATTGCATATGTACGCAATACGTTTATGAAGGAACAGTGTGTCATAGAGATTGACGTGAGAGGTGATAGGTGAGTTGCATATGTACGCAATACGTTTATGAAGGAACAGTATGTTATAGAGAGTGGCGTGAGAGGTGATAGGTGAGTTGCATATGTGCGCAATACGTTTATGAAGGAACAGTGTGTTATAGAGAGTGACGTGAGAGGTGATAGGTGAGATGCATATGCACGCAATACGTTTATGAAGAAAAAGTGTGTTATAGAGAGTGACGTGAGAGGTGATAAGTGAGATGCATATGTACGCAATACGATTATGAAGGAACGGGCGAACGCTTCGGGTGTGAAATAAGTTTCAGTGCGACTGTGGATAGCGCTCGGAGCGGAGATACAGCTCAAGGTTACCACACGTCCAAGCGCCCATGAAAGTGTCTGACAGTAGGTGATAAAATAAGGTACTATTGAAAGCATATGACATTAGGTGATATAATAAGCTACTATTGAAAGCGTATGACATTAGGTGCTATAATAAGCTACTTTTGAAAACGAATGACATTAGGTGATATAATAAGCTACTATTGAAAGCGTATGATATTAGGTGCTATAATAAGCTACTTTTGAAAGCGTATGACATTAGGTGATATAATAAGCTACTATTGAAAGCGTATGACAAAAGGTGCTATAATAAGCTACTATTGAAAGCGTATGACATTAGGTGATATAATAAGCTACTATTGAAAGTGTCTGACATTAGGTGATACAAGAAGCTACTATTGAAAGCGTATTGAGAAGGAGGCGAGTGCTGTAGATATAGTGTGTGTGATATGTGACATGCGCTCCAATCTCGAGTGTAAACCTATAGTATAGACCTACAGCACAAACCTACAGTATAAATCGTACATAAACCTATAATATGAATAAATCTATAGTATAACCCAATAGTATAACCCTATAGTATAAAACCATAGTAGAGACCTACAGTATAAAACCATAGTATAGACCTACAGTATAAACCTACAATATAAATTATATATAAACCTATAGTATAAACCTATAGTATAAATCCTATAGTGTAACCCCATAGTATAACCCTATGGTATAAAACCATAGTAGAGACCTACAATATAAACCTACAGTATAAATCTTATATAAACCCTTAGTATAAACCTATGGTATAGCCCTGTAGTATAAATCCTATAGTATAACCGTAAAGTATAAAACCATAGTAGAGACCTACAATATAAACCTACAGTATAAATCTTATATAAACATATAGTATAAACCTATAGTATAACCCTTTAGCATAAACCTATAGTATAAACCTATGGTATAACCTTATCAAACCATAGGTGAGACCTACAGTATAACTTATAGTATAAAACTTATATGCACCTATAGTATAATCCTATAGCATAAATCCTTCAGTATAAACCTATAGTATAACCCTATAGTATAAACTTAACCTGTACTACAAACCTAAAATAAGCAGCAACCTATGATTGCACAACACGAACGTAAAACACTGTGAATGCCGCAGTACCAGGGAGGGTTGCGTGACACCACGCACTGTGTAATAGACACCAGAGGGAACCACGCCAACACCACACTCACAAAGACTCTACCGACTCCCTGGGCAGTCAGTATCAGCACACGTGGTCTCAATACAAGACAAACGGAATGCTTGCAAAGTGGGTGTTAAACCAGACAAACTATACTGAATATATAGTCGGGTGTTATACCAGACAAACTATACTGAATATATAGTCGGCCTCAGGGAGAGTGATACAGCACGACAGCCTACGCTCACAGACCAGCAGGCTCCGCATCTAATAGCTATCGCTGTCAGACAAATCACACTCGTGTAATGACAATCAGGACACTACAACCACAATCAGTTTCCCACAAATGGTCTCCGTTACAGCCCCATAGAACGCTTGTATGGCCGACGGTATAGCAGGCAGGTTGTACTTACTATATAGTCTGCCTCAGGCAAATAGGACGCTTGTATGGCCGATGGTATAGTAGGCAGGTTGTACTTACTATATAGTCTGTCTCAAGCAAATAGAACGCTTGTATGGCCGATGGTATAGCAGGCAGGTTGTACTTACTATATAGTCTGACTCAGGCAAATAGAACGTTTGTATGGCCGATGGTATAACACGCAGGTTGTACTCACTATATAGTCTGTCTCCGGCAACGTGACGCAGCAGGACAGCCTCAGCTCACAGACCAGCAGGCTACGCAGTTGGTGGTTGTCGCTGACTGAGAAGGCTTTGAGCGTGGAATCCGCTCCTACACTGTACACCACGTCCGGTTGCACAGTGTCGAAGCACACGTCCGTCACTTCGCCCTGGTGCAAGCTGTGTATGGC